TGTAGGTTTTAAAAATAAAGACATTACTTTAGGAAATGTACCTACTTAAATAGTATACAATATAATTAAATTACCACAGAAAAGTAAAGTGAATAACGCTAATTTTTAAAACTCAGCATTTAAAAATAAATAAATATTATTAGAACTTCAACGGATAAATATCGTTTAAATTTTTATCAATTTAATTGAATTGATGCATTGAAACTGGACTATTGGTCAGTTTGCCTTTTTATGATAATATAGAAGACTTAGCGGGGAAAAAATCAAGGAATGTATCCATTTTGTTGATTTTGATACAATATGTTTGTATTCGTTTTTARTCAATCTTTTTTAGCTTTAGATCATTATGATAAATAAACTTGTAGTTTAATTTAAATGTGATACACTGCAACAATTAATACTGCATGAGTTTATAAAATTATGATTCATAAATATTTATTCATAATTAAAACTAAAAATATAGTTTACACGGGGTAAGTATKMCATTTGTAATATAGACCACTAAGGAGCCCCAATATATCCCTTAACTTTTTTTCCTTAAAATTTAAATCCAGTCCTGACCATACGTTAAAATTGAAAGACTTGGGAGGATTTAGTTTTCCAACAGCTTAAAGAAAGGAGATTAGCTGGGTAGGTTCATATTTCAATATRTTTGGTTGTTCAAACCTTTAAAACATCRACATAATTATAATTTCATTATTTAGTAATGATAACATTACAAAAGAATCATTTCAGATAAAAACTAAATAGGTCCAATCTGATGACGTTGAGAAAAAATCAATTCGTCAGTGTTTTTTACAATTGAATTAATTATGATGACGCCAATAAAGACGTTGATGGTAGCAAAATTAATGGTGTAGATATAATAAGCTTGGTAAAATAAAAAACTGCGAAACAAAATCAATGACGTTAATCGTGAAATTTGAAATTCCAATTTTATTGTATATTAGACATTTTATTAAAAGTAAAAATATTAATGACAAGCCCACCAATAATGGTTTCGTAAACGAAAATATTGTAAAATTCAAGTGTCTAAATAAATGAATAAAACYRACTATTTATGATAATTATAGGTATTTGTGTTTATATTAAACTTTAAAGGTAATTAAATGGTGAACATTTTATTTGTTTAAAGTTACTTATTCGACCACTTTTTTAAATCTTTTCATTACCCTTAGCTTCGTGCAAATTCAAATATTAATAGTACCTAAATCACAATTTATTGCACAGTTAAAATTAATACTCCAATGAAATAACCAAATAAATCTTCAATTGTACCTATCTACAATGCCTAAAAAGAGAAACAGCGTTGATACAACGATTTTATTCACTAGAAACTCAAACATCATAAATTGTTTTATTTATTTTTCAAAAAAATAATGGGATTTGACAAATATCTATATAATAAAACTAATTGTTTCAAGATATTAGTTTTGTTTGGACTTTGAAGGTATAGTAACTTCAGTAAACTTATACAAAGCAATGAAATATACTATTCCACAGCAAACTGTTTACAGCTCAGTGATAAAAACATATTAAAAACTATTTAGTATATTATATTTTGATAAAGTATTTAAAGTAAAGTTTGTTTTAGGGATATGTTTATCAAAAACCTTACAAAAAGTTTATGTTTCAACTAGTTCTRACCAAACATTTTAAAACTTATATCACGTGGCAATATTGAGTAAAATATAATAATACTACTAATAGGTATTACAATGCAAATAGACCAGTCCCACTGATGTAAGAATTATAAGGTTTCAACAATATTTTTATTATTATTAGTCATAGRAAAAATAATAGAAAATAATACAACGGTTTAATCGTTTTATGATGAATTTTTCTCATCTGAAACAAAACAGATTAAACTATTCCCAAAGTTTATATTTAATTTTATATAAATGTCATAACATCGAGAAAGGTATCAATTACAAAAACACAAAATACTTATATTATGGTAGAGGTTATTTACTGAGGTTCTAGAACATATTTTTTTTAGACCACTCAACATGACGTATACTGTATATCCACGTAAATGTTTTACCATCCTAATTTTATACAAAGGTTAAATATTTGTTTTATTTCCATATTATTCTTTTAAACTGAAGTATGCCAAGAAGAAAACGAATACCTAGGTATTGAATAATTTTAAATTGGCACAAGTCAGACTTGTCCAGAACTTGYGCAGATTTAAAAAAGTTAGGTATTTGGCAATTTGAACTTATGAAAACATAATAGTGTTATAAAATATTACGTATGATTAACTAATAAGTTTATATTCAAAAGGAATTCATGCATTTTATTAAAACCATATTTCACGATTTTTAGGCACATATATAAATTCGAATTCTATTAACAGGTTTTTAGAATAGGTATTTTAACAATATCGATATCTTTATCTTTTAATACATTAATTTTATTATTTTGTTTAAATATTGAAAAAAAATCATTAACGATTAATTTGTATAACAATTAAATTAAAACATTTAAATATGCCAGTAGGATTTTGTAAATAGTTGTTTCTATTACATAAAATCTTTTGTTAGTTAAAAGTAACTATATTACTGGATATTATAAGTATAAGCCYCTAAAGGTAAAAATTAATAACAATGGATTATTTTTAAAATAAACAATTGAGTATTAATAGAACCTGACCAAACTTAAATTGTAGTAACTATCGATCTTTTATCATCAACCTCGCCATTATACGTATTAAATGTGTATTGTAATTATTAATATTATTGCTTTTATTTTTTCTGAATACTATTGATAGGATTTTATAATTCWATTTTTTTTCCTATACGAACATCATGTATATTCAAGGTGTATATTATAATGGACTGTTAAATCACTTTTATATAATTTTTAAACTTAATTATCGAGTTGACAATCAATTTAAATTTCTAGATAAAATATGATTCTGCTATTAGTGAAATTTATTAAGCTACTATCTTCAGATGCACTATTATTGGATAAATCTTACCTGAACAAGTTGCTCCATTTTCAATATAACTCTTATACTGAACCAACTAGGATTAATATAGAAGTAAGATCACAACTCAACCATAATTATTTTCATAAAGAAACTTGTGTTAAACAACACTATGTCAAACGTTTTCAACCACAATTTAAAGTTAATCTTATATTAAATATTTAAATTAGTACAGTCAATCATAATAATATAAATTCTCAATTTAGCTAATAAAATATTAAAATATGATTAATTTAAAAATTGATTAGAATATATGGTACTTGTTTAAAGCAAATCTTTATATGGCATTGTATAATATGTATTATTAAATTTGATAATGATTATAAATTTAGTTACTCTAAAAAATCAAAAAATTATTTGATTTTAATTTGGAATATAAATATTGTTTGTACAAATATTTTATTTTAGCTTAGATTCAGGTTTGGGGGTTTAAAATGTACTAAGCTATAAAATGTTAACGAAGGCGAATTGATTTTTTTTAATCAATCCCTGGTTGCAGAATGTTATACTTTTTTTATTATAATTATGTTGTTCAAGAAAATTCAAAATTTATGTACTTACCTACATAAAATATAATACAGCGACATTATTTGCAATGATGTATAAATCACTTGAGATCAACTAATTATTAGTACTTTAAAAATAATTATAAATTGAGTATAATTTTAACTAAAGATCAAAATGCGTGTCTTACGTTTTGTACACTATACTCAAATTATACTCAAATTATTTACATAATATTACAGACAACGTTGTAGGTAACTTATAATTTAATTTAATTATATTTTAACTCCTATATCAAAATAAAATAATACGTAAAACAATAAATTAATCGATCTAAACTTCTTACACTAATAATAATTTACATATATGATTTTTTTTTTGTATCAGATAGCATTCCGATGGGCAAATATTATTATAATAATCATAGAATATTATCCTTGAAAAGAATATTTTATGTACAATGTGGCTACAACTGTTATAAATTAACGATACACAACAGAAATCATAAAAATATTTACGGTAAAGCGCGGAAAACATGATAAAATTACAAGTAGGCTGCAGTGAAATCATTATATTATCTACTGTTGTTAATGCGAATGCTGAATGATTATAATTCGTAAATATAAATGTATACTTTTTACAGTCTAAAAAGATGTTAAACTAAAGGGAGGAGTAAAGGGCTGAAGTGTATAGTGTGGGTACGGGGTTTGAAAATAAAAACACTGTTGGCGTAGAAGAGATGTGATGTCATTGGTCCTGACGTCACGGAGGGGAGGCAAATTTCGATATAAAGCGAGAATATCACCCCTCGAGTCTGTCCGACGAGAACTAACTGGCCACTTTGAAAAGTTGTTGTTAACCGACGACTCTATCCTAAACACATACCACAGCAACACGGTAGTTTTTACGTGCTCCAGCTCCGAGATTATACACAGGTAAAACGCTTATACTTTTACAGTAGGTACTTATTATATTTTGTTTTATAATATAATATTAGTATGGTATATTTAAATTTAATTAATTTAGCATTATTCTAAATACTATGTACAAAGTTAATGAATAAAAATAAAATATAAATATTTTTCGTAATTACCAATTATGATTTTTAATTTTTTGTTAGTACGTAAAACGATAATTTTAAGATTTTGATCGATAAAATAATAAAATTACATAGGTTTATACCTCAATTATACGTTTTATTTATTTATTTATAATTTTTTTTTTTTTTAAGTCAACATATTTTTTTCAAAATTAAAAATATTATATTCAGCAGAAATTTAAAATTTAAGTCATTTCTAAGAAAACAATATTTTATTTTTAAATAAACTAATTATTCGTAATAGTGTTACAAAAATAAAATACTTTTACCTTTTAAACTATAATATAGTGGTATGTATTTATTTGTAAGAAAATATATACATTTTAAATATAACATAGGTACATGTAATGACGAATACATGCATCGCGTAGTTATAATATAGACATTTTAAGTGCRAATTTTAGTGATCTTTTAGTTCTTTGAAAAGGTTAAGCTTATAAACTTTTATTTCATTTTGTTATCTTACGTACCTACCTAGTTATACAAAACAAATCATACTTTTGACAAAATTTAAAATCACTATTTTTATCAAGGAACTTTGTCCTAATACTTGTGTATTGTAGAAGCACCATTAAAACTTTCTGTAGAGGCTTAAAATAAAGTTAAGTACAGTTACTCTTAAGATTTTAAGTGATAATACGTACTTCAGTAACGCAATATCTGCATAAAATAATAGAAATATTGTACTAACTGTCATGCCCATTTATGAAAAATATAGTATAAATATAAATGAAATAAATCTTTAATGGAATTAATGATTTTTATTCCACTCTGTTCCTAAAGTGTTTTTATTTTCGTAAAGTGTGTGTACCATATACTTGACGCATTTTATGAGTGTAAAAAAAAAATAAATATATTTTGGGTTCCACAATATAATATATTGATTTGTTTGATAATATTTTATCAAACAAACACGTCATACTTGCATTTGTATGTGAATATGCATTTGTTTGATAATTTGAATAGATATATGATATATGTACATAATATTATGATTTTATTTAGCGATTGGTTCGACAACACGTCTGTTCCGCTTTCCTCGTGCGCAGTTTAAAGACCCCAAGGCAAGTAGTATTAATGAGTCTGTTGTCTAAACGCAAAGAGTCTTCAATCGCCCAATAAGTGGTGACGGTGTTAAGGATCACCTTACTAACCTGAAGAGAAGTTTCCTAACGAAAACACTATCTATCCAATTTCGCTGAATGTCCGTCAGAATATACGTTTGTACGTATGTAGGACGTAGGTGCGTGTAATTCACAATAACAATCACTCTAGTTTAATTTTTTGTAAGTTATAACTACTATACAATAATCCAATTTCGATTTTTGAAATTTTTTTAAGCCTACTTAAAGACCATACTTTCATAAACTGCTATTTAACGAGTGAACCAGCAGTGGCTTGACATTTTTTTTTTTAAAGTAGAACCACCTTTTTACTGTGAATCGTTAAGTAAATTATAGGTAGGTACCCTTGAATCTAAATCAATATTATAACGAGTAGTTCTRAGTTGCTAAGCATTATGTACCATGGATAAAAGTCCACAATAGTGAGGTTTAAATACACCGATGCCCATGTTATACAAASATAAAGTAAAWTACCTATATTTGAAATTTGCAAAAATTATAATTTGAATAAATGCTTAATTTAATGATGAAATGTGGATAGGCGTGAATCACACTGTATGTATAGAGTAATATTCACTGCAGGGTGGATAACGGCATAAYCGGTACGCAGGCAAYAGTATTATTTAATCAAGACACATAAATCGTGGATACTTTGTATTCCTTCGGTCCGGGCGCATAGTACCTAGGTGTATAAATAATATTATTGTTGTTATAATTATTATTATATCTCTCGGACCGCGGTGGTTAAGTGCAGCCGATAAATCCCGCGTTTGTTTCTTCTTCGGCTGTACACGACGATCAATTAAAATAATATCCCGGGCTAATACCCCACCGCCATATCCCGTTCGATAATGGCCTATCGTCGTGTTATCGCAGGTAGTTATATATTTTATAGGTAAACGAAGTGTATAAATTTGTGTGGATGCGTGTGTTTGGGTAGCTATAGGTGGCTGGGTGTCAGATACCACCCAACATATTAATATACACCAATACATTCCATAATATATTAAAGTTATGCTAATAATCCGCGCGTGTTTATCTATAATATTATCATTATTCCAGATTATAAATATTATTATTATTTTTTTTTTTTTTAATTCATAGCGACTACCTACGGCCATTGAATTTTAAAATGAATAAATATTAAGTAGGTACTATTAAATTAAAATAATGAGTTATTATATTTATTTGTATTTGCGTCGTCATGTTAAGCATTACTCTAATTTARCCAGGTTGCATGATAAAAAACAATAATTTAAAGGACACGTTACATGGGTCACACAAGTTTTCAACAATCAAAAAATTTGGAGGATTGGAGATCTTAGATACTCGAATCTCTTTTCACGATTACGCCATATCAGTAGTTAGAAATGTGTACGATWGAAAAAATAGTACCGACCTAGGTCTTTTTTCACGAGATGTTGGTGCGTGACCTAACCAATTTGGGGTTTTTTGACGGATGTTTTTCTGRAAATACTCAATAATAAATTTAATTAAAATGTATATATTATTTTTTTTTTTTACGATTTAATGATAATTAATACTTATAACAAAAATTAAATTTTCGGGAAAGACCACGGCATTTTAACATGTTCTTATTATTTCATAGTTAAAAAAAAAAATTACCCCCTTGCTCCGATATGAATATGTATTTAAAACTTAATATTGTATGTAACCTACTAATTAACGCTTGTAATATTATTGAAATTATTTATGTTGATTTATTTATAAAAAAAAAACTCCTTATATGTCTTATATAAAAATGTAATATGTACCTACCTAAAATGATAAGAATTATTTGTAATCTGAGATAACCCTGAGCCTCCACATGAGTTTTTTCTCAGTGAGTCCCAGTAATCTTTCGATATTAATTTAAATAAAATAAATAAAAAATAGTGTTTTTGTGTGTGCATAATACATGTATTATTGGTTTGACATGTACCAACGTTCACCAAGAAGTATACACGAACTTTTCACGAAATATACTATTAAATTATTAAAAATTACACGCACACCGTCTGAACGTGTAGGTTTAATGATTTAATATACCCGATATATCTTTTATTATTGAGTTTTATCATACGTTTTTATCTACGTTCTATAATGCTTTAAACGTTGTTATATTATAATTTAATATTATATTTGGCAAGATTAAAATATGTTTCAGACGGCTATTTGAAACGATTAATCGAAGCGTTCAAAATAAAACGTTATTTTAATCTGCATAATGATTTTAATGTGGATCTTGTATCATATGCCTTTTTCTATTATTTATTCACAACGCATACCACGTAATCGGCCACCATCTACAAAAACGTTAGGTAAATGAGAGTTTTTACGAATTTTTTCGATTTCCGATTCGAATATTGAATATTTTCACGTGGAAAACTTCTGAACTATGTATAGGTGCACGACAATAGCGTAGTGACTGCGTGGGACGGAATCAAAATCCCCGATTTAATTTGTTTTATTTCGTATCGTTTCTCTGGAGAACAAATCCAGTTGTTGGTACCTACCCTTATAGRTTGATATTAACAAGTATTTATTTTTATTATCAACCATTGTTTATTGGTATTGTGATATTTTACTTAATGCAACTCATAAATACTTTGTATAAACATTTTATATTAATATTAGTTTTTGTAGGTACCTATATTACTTGCACATAAATATCATTGCCATTTGCCACTCTAAAAATGAATTAAATTTAACAATGAAATTTTTTTCATGTATAACTAATTGGTTCTATTATAGTTTATAATATCCAACAAAAAATATTATTTAAGTCCAAAAGTAATTTTAAAATAAATATTTTTAATCGTTAGTATTAGAATATTATAATTTTCATTAAAAAAAAATTATCCAAACGATTCATTCATTCTTTATAAACACTACTAAACTGCTAAACGAATCAAGTTTTAAGATACGTATATATATATATATATCTTAAGCTCCTAAAGAGAAGGATAAAATAAAACCCTAAAATGTAACAAAGAAAAATTTTTATTTTTACAAATACTAGAATAAAACTCCATCCATCACCAAAATAATTAATTCAACTTAATTGTAACAAATCGTAAAATTATAAGATTTTGGGATAAACGTATACGACTGGCATGGGCTAAGTACTCAAGTCCCATAAAAATGAACAGAACAACAGTGAATCATGGACTACATCAAATACGTTTTTGGTTAATCCGAGCTCTATAACAAAAATAAAATATAAATTATTGTTGATGATTAAGTTATCTTAATACATACTAAATATTATGGTTTATAATTATAGGAACTTCAAAAACCTTCAGAATAAAAATAATATAAACATTTCTTTCAATATTCAAGAACAATAACCAATGACCCATGGCATGTTATTAAACTAACCCTCTACAAAGATCTGAATATGTAATGAGCATCCTTAAATAAATATATAAACATCACAAACGAATCCATAAAAAACTAAATCTACACTTTAATTCTCCTATTCTCTATTCGTCTAATAAGTACCACCAAATCGTTTTAAAAGAAAATGGTTTAGGGCAGTGACAACTTGAACATATTTCTTYCTTGACTCATATTTATTATTTTTGCACTAGGTACCTACACTAAACWTTTTTTCATTGCTCTCCAAATAKGGGGGTTATAAGTTGTAAGTGGTTAAATAATGGTTAAATAACCTTAAAAGTACTTCAAATTACTTTTTCCAGACACCAAT